CCCTGCCGCGCTGCCGGCAGCAGGAAGGAGACGGTGTACTCCTGCGTCTCCCCAGCAGCCCGGTCCACCCGGGTCAGAACCGGTGCCGTCATCGGGATCTTCACACCTGCCGGGTTTGTGTCATGTTTGCTCAGAATCCACATCCTCCCCACCCCAGAACCACCCCCCAACCCCCCTCCACTGCAGCCAGCTCCTGGGGAAGGGTAGAGACCCCCTTTTCTTCTGTGCCTGTTCTACCGAGGCTCATTAAACATGAAGCAGCCCCAGAGAGCCAGGGGGCGGCCCAACCCCCTATGTCCCTCCCCTTAGCCCCTGGGGACCTTGGAGGGAGTTTCTCAGGTTGTTATGGGGTCTCTGAGGGATGGATTATGGGCTATCTGGAGCAATGGAGTTCTGGGGGGGGGACTTGGAGTCACTATGAGGGTGGGGGCCTGTAGGGACCCCATGGGAGAAGAGGGGGGCTATAGGTGGGGACACAGAGGGGCATATGGGTGGAGCAGGGCTGTGGGTGCTCTAGGGGCTCTAGGAGGGGGGGTTACGTGTGGGGGGTCAGGGAGCTGTGGGCTCTCTAGAGGTTGGGATCTGAGGCTGGGGGCAGAGGGGCCGTGGGGGATGGGCTGTGGGGGTCACCTTACCCAGCTGGTTCCGGCCCTGGATGTAGCGGAAGAGGCGCCAGAAGCCGGTGGTCTTGGCGGCCGTGTACGTGTTGTTCACGCGGGTGCTGACCCAGGCCGAGGGGGGGTAAAGCCGGGCCTGGGGGGGGCAGGAGCATGGGGGGGGTCAATTCCTTCTCACGCTTCCTGCTCCATCCCTCCAACCCCCCCACTCCCTCCCAGCTTCAGGGGGACTGGCTGGCTCCAGAGGGTCCTTTTCCCGCTAGGGGGCACAAGCTCCCGTCCAGCCCCAGGGTGGGGGAACTGCCCATCTCGGGAGGGCGTATTTTAGCAGGTTTTCCCTCCCCCCCCCCAACTGATCCTCACCTCGTAGTCAGAGCTGTTGCAGATGAGATCAAAGGTGAAACATTCGGTGACTTCCCCGCAGAATGTAGGCTTCTCCCTGCAGAACCAGATGGGGAGAGTCAGGGCGTACAGCCCCCCTGGGATTGGCCCCATCACTCTGGGGGTGCTGTTGCCCGCCAGGGGTTTGTGCAAGGATAAATCTCCATCCCGAGGCACTGGGGGAGGGGTTTGGGGATGTTCCCTCCAACACCCTCTGTAGTGTGGGGAGAGCCCCCGACTCACCTTTCTCCCCAGACCCCCCGTGCCAGGGCCAGGAGCAGCAGTGGGGCCATTCGCAGCAGCATCATGAGGGGTGTCACGGCAGAAGCTGCAGGGAGAGACTCAGGCTGGTGATGAAAAAGCCCCCCCCTCGACCCCCCCGCCCCACACTGCCAAGACCAGAGAGCCTGGGGCACAACCTGCTCAGCCTGTAGGTCCCTGCACCCATCAATCCCCCCAGCCCAGCAGGATCAGCTCCCAGGTGCACCCCAAATCCCAAGACACCCCCAGACTCTGAACCCCCCCATCACTCCCTCTCCCCATGCCCCCAGCTGCTCCATCACCCTGCAGACTCTTGCGTGGAGAGTTTGGGGTGTGACCCAGCTCTTCCCATGCGTTTGGGCACCAGGCAGAGACGGGGCTGCTTTTATTCCCCCTCTTCACCCCCCCGCCCCATGGCAGGTTACATAACCTCATGCCCAGCCCCTTCTGGCCCGTGAATCAGGCATGCGGTTGGGGTTGTGTAACGGGGCGGGGTGGTGTGATATAACCAGCAACGGGAACAGAGCGGAACCTCAAAACCCAGCCCGGTGCTAGGGGCTGCTGTGCTGTGGGGGGCCTGGTTATACCCACTGTCCCCAGCCTGGTGTGAGGGGGGGACTGCTGTGGGTGCAAATATGCATTCTCCCCAGCCCGGCACCAGAGGGCAGCGTGCTGTGAGGTATCCTGGTTGTGCCCCATCTCGCAAGCCTGGCGCTGGGTGGTCCTCATGCCATTCTGGGGGGGTGCTTTCCTGGGGGGGGGGCACTGCCCGAGGGTCCCTCTGCTCATTCGGGGGGCACTGGCACACAATGAGAAGCAGGAGCCGGGCATCAAACAGACCAATAAATATTTATAGACATTAAAAAACCAACAAAGAATCAAGTTACAAAAGAATTATACGAGACAGGAACTGAGGGGGATGGGGGAGCAGAGGCAGAAGTGCCACACCCAGTTCCTCACCGAGCCCGGTGCTCCTCACCCCCGGGCTACAGTGGGGAAAACAGGCACAGAGGTGGAGTCGGGGAAGGACTTACTCCCAAAACGGGAGAGAACCCAGGAGTCCTGGCTCCCAGCCCCTCCCCCTGCTCTAACCCACTAGACCCCACCCCCCTCCCAGAGCCAGGGATAGAACCCAGGAGTCCCAAGGCCCAATCCAGTGACTTCCCCACTAGCCCAGCAATGGGGTGGGGGGTGCATTAGAGGGATTCCCATACCGCTGTTCAGTTTGTAATGGGGGGATTAGTACATCACACGACAAACATCAGGTGCTCCTACCACTGAGGCCTGCACTTCCCACTGGAATGCCCCCCAGTGGGGCCGGGGGGCATTCACCCCCAGCCCTTGGCAGGGAAGGGGGTGTCGTACCTATATTCAGGTTAGCTCTGTGCTTAGGGAGTGGGGGGAGGGTGTTGTACCAGGGAGGAAGGGGGAGCACCAAACTGGGGGAGTCGTCCCTGGAGGGGGGATATGGAGGGGTGTTGTCCCGGGAGGGGAGAGTTGGAGGAAAGGGAGCAGAGGATGCCGTCCTGAGGGCAGTCGGGATGGAAGTGGGGTGCTGTCCCAGAGAGGGACTGGGGAGGGAAGGACAGAGGGGCAGGGGACCCCACCCCTACTATAGGGTGAAGGGACACTGGCCCTGCCCCCAGGAGGGGATATTCATAGATCTCAAGGCCAGGTCTCGCCTGCCCCCCGCAGAACACAGTCCAGTGACTCGCCCGGCACTGGAGCAGCTCTCAGCCATCCCATCTTGGTCGGAACGTTGCCCCCTTGGGCAGCTGCTCCCAGCCTCATTCCCCTCCCTGGTCTCCAGACTCTGGCTGCTGGGCCAAAGGGCCCTCGCATCACAGCTCTGTTCCCAGGTGGGGATCCAGTCACCCCTTCGCCGTCTCTGCGCGAGCAACTTGAGTCTATCGCGGCAAAGCCTGTTCCCTGCACCTTTCAGCATTCCAGCAGCCCCTCTCCACCATATCCCCACCTGTGTGGGAGTGCGGGCCCCAGACCTGGGCACAGGAGCCCAGTGGCGGCTGCCCCAGGGCCAGGTACAAAGTAAAAATCACATCCTGCCCGTGACTGCCCTGTTTGTACCTCCAAGGATCACACTAGCCCTTTGGCCATAAATTGGGGTCCAGGGGGCACTGGCCCAGGGAGGAGGGGTGAGGGTGGTCTGAGGGGAGATTGGGGGATGCCCCATCCTCCAGAAGGGATAGAGCGGGTGGGCTGCAGGTTCCAACTCAGCATCAGTCATTACACATACGAGAAAACCAAAGTGACTCACAGACGGCCAGACAGACAGGGACAGGACAGACTCACCAACCCACGGGTCGGCTTGCTACACACAGCACAGAGGGGCCGCACCCCACAAACACACCCTCCGCCCCAGTCTCCTTAGCCCATCATGGGCGAGGGAGGTGCCCCCCACTCAGCAAGGAGGGGGGGTTAGTGTTAAGAGTTCCTCAGGGACCAAAGAGTCCACGTCCCACCAGGGTACACAGCTATGGACCCACAAATCCAGCCCCCACCTGGCACTGGAATGGGGGGTGGGGGCACGGAATTCACTATCCAGGACCCTGACAGAGACTTCAGTCTGTACAATCATCACGGCTTCCTGTCTCACCCCACCCACAGAGAGCGTCCCGGTTCCTCGGCTCCCCCCTCCCTGCCCCACAGCATCCTGGGAAGAGCGGGCCGCTCCAGGTGGGGATCCAGTCACTGGCGAGTCTGTGCGTCTGGGATGGGTGTGGGGGGGGCATCTCTGTGCCCCAGGGTCTATCGGGGAGGAGGGGGTGTCCATGTGCAGGGCGGGGGAGGCCATCCGCCACCTGCTCCCCCACTTCACATCTTTGCCCCGCTCCCCCCGCCGAAGCCCAGTTCACTGCGCGGAGACCTCCCGGCAGCCT